TGGGACTCTCAGGCTGTCTTGTAGCTGGTCCTTGTCCCTAGGATCTGCAAGCTGAAGCCTGAGGACTCGTTATAAGCTTAGGAGGACTCATTACTACTGCAGACCATGCATGGCCCGATTTCTCCCTTGACAAGCTGCTGTCTGGGTCACTATAGAAGTCTGGTGAAATGTTAAGATCATGCACATCCTCATAAGAGAGGTAACCCAGACTCTGGGCAAGATAATTAGGAGCATAATAAAACTCTAAAAGCAGTGCTGCATAATCAAATGTTTCCATCTACTGACCTCTTGAAATTCACTGGACTAGCTACCCTTAGAGTTTAACTTCCATCTCCTTACTTTAATTCACTCTTCATATTAACATTTCTCTTTTTCACTTTAGCCATCCCACTTTTAAGATATCTGATCCGAGGAATATTGAAACAACTGACCTTTGCCAGCACACAAAACAGATGGTTCAACTAGTTCTCTAGGGACATCGCTGAGAAAAAGCTGACCCTGAGGACTATTTCACTTAGCCATTCCTTGTTTGAGATATCCCCTACCCCTGTATTGTTCAGAGAAAGTCTCTTTCTGAGCCTGCCTTGAACAAGAAGAGGGACTGACAAGGCTGAACAAGCTCTGTGCTTAACACAACTTTCGGCTGCATAGCTGAGGACCACTAGGCCCTCAACTCTATGTGAATTTCCTATGCTTTAAGTTGTTTGCTCCATGTCAGACCCAGAATCCCAACCCCCCGAGCCTAACCACAAACCACCTTTCCTGCCCCAGCTTTTCTATTAGTACAATATTTGCAGCACTTCATAAGTTTCAAAGCCATTTCCACATACCAGTTTTTCACATTGCATCCCCTTCTACTTTCTGTAAGCCCCTGTCCCAGTGTCTCTACCTATAAAAGCTTTGCTTGCCTAACCTTTGCCTGAAACTTTTGTGGCTTAGGCTTTAAGCATCTCCCTATTGCAACAGTCTTGCTTAATGATGTCTTTTCTTACTCAAGTCCATACTTACATTTTTTTCCTTGACAATGCAAAAGATACCATCTAGGATTTGATTTTTGTAAGGTAAAATATAAAAAGTAATCCAAAAGTTTAAGTATTTGATTAAATAAGAACATGGATTACTGAGAAAGAATTCTATTTAACCAAAATGACAAAAAAATTTCAAAAGTAGATGTAGAGCACTTCAGTTCTTTCGAGTGAAAAGACTTTGTTCTCTTAAGTAATCAAGGATATTATAAAATCATCACAACACATAGGGAGTTATTCTGGTAAGACCCGGAAAAGTTGTTTTCTAGGCAGATTACTCAGAAGGTAAAGAAAAAATCTTTTACAAGCACTTATTAAGAGAAGACCAATAGTACAAGAAAAAAATTGTCATCTTAATAGAGAAAATCAAATTAGAGTTTTAAACAATATATTTGATACTAATGCGTTTACTAAGAATCTTGTAAATAAACTCATTAAACCTTAGCCAACTGTGACTACAAGAAATAAGATTCCCTTTTCCTGAACCATCTGCAGCCTTCTCTATCCAGACAGGTTTTGTCATACACTTTTCTCTTTCTCATTCTGGAACAACCAGTCATTTTAATTTAGAACAAAACTACTCTCTTCTTCCTTAACAAAATACATCCTGCACACTTTGCATGCAAATTTTTTCCTCTCTGACACTATCACTCCTATTAGAGTCTCATTCACATATTGATTATAATTTTTAACTGCAGTAACTTCTATTGCATAGAGAAAACCAGGAGGTGGTGTAAAAGAAAAGTTATTCACTAGGCATGTGTTAAAATGGCAAGACAAATCTTATTTGAACTACTGCAATAGGAGAGAGAGACTTCAGTATAGAACTGAGCTCAACTCCCAATTCAGCAAAGACAGCTGGAGATTTATAGCCAAGTAGCAGAGTGAGGGGGGTCAGTGGATGAAAACTCACTAAGAGGAACTTGATTAGATGTCAAGGGTAGGGGGATTCTTGCTAAGCTTGCTTAATAAGATTCTTCCTAAAAACAGGCCTAGGACTTACATATCCAGGGCAGGGGTTAAGGGACTTGATCAGATATCAAGGATGATCAGGTATCAGAGGTGGGGGGATTTCCAATGAACTGAGCTCAGCAGGCCAAGGCTATGGCCTAGACTAGAAGAAGGCTCCAGGAGCATGACTAAAGTTTGGTCAAGGAGGGAATCAGTCAGTAGATAACGGTAAACTATCTTTCACATGCCAATAGTTTCTTGCAGACCAGCAGAGCTTACAAATATACATCTCATAACTTTTTATAGCCATAAACATTCCTTTTATTACAATTTCTCAATGTGGCAAAAATGAACATGTGTATTAACAGACCCAAATATATAGCCTTTCTGTGTTATATAAAAATGAGGCAAAATGTTATGTAAAATGAAAGTACATTTAGTAATTAATGTTTCAGTGTTCTAAATATCTTACTTAGATATGATCTAGGTATTTAATGAATATTTATTAATTAACTCAATTTTAACATCAGTCGAAGATTTTAAGTTACCAGAAGATTTTGGAAACTATTTCCAAGCTGACATACTGTAAAACATAATTACTTTTGAAATAAAATTTGTCAGAATAATGATTTAATTTGACAAAATACAAACTTACATTTTTTATAATCTTAAAAATATAGTAACTGAAATGATAGCTTATTAAGTCAGCAAATCTTTGTAAGTTGAGGAAGAGCATGCCCATGTAGAATAAAAATGTATGTTGAACTCAGAAGATATAGCTGTTTTATGAAACCAAAAATATTAAATTAGACCCATTTGTCAAAATTTACCCAAATTATGTGGACTTCAATTCTTATAACTTTTTTTTTTTTTTTTTTTTTTTTGCGGTACGCGGGCCTCTCACTGTTGTGGCCTCTCCCGTTGCGCAGCACAGGCTCCGGATGCACAGGCTCAGCGGCCATGGCTCACGGGCCCAGCCGCTCCGCAGCATGCGGGATCTTCCTGGACCGGGGCACGAACTCGCGTCCCCTGCATCGTCAGGCGGACTCTCAACCACTGCACCACCAGGGAAGCCCTCTTATAACTTTTGAGTTAGTGCTTATGAGAATATAGTTTTAGTACATAAAAAGTATCAGAAGTTTAATTTTTCAATATCTGGGAATTTTAGGAACATTTCATTTGTATAAGGACTTATTTAGCTCTAAGTCAATCAAAATAGAGCTCTTTTAAAACTTTTATAATCTATTTTAGTAATACCATCTGGAGATAGGGAAATATTACATACCCACAGACATATAAACATACAGACATAGACATAGATAACTTATAGCTTTGATTCTAAAAGTTTAGCCTGTAGTTCAGGCATAAACCCAGAAATAACAAAACTCACTTTTTATTATAAAAAGAGCTCTTGCTTCCCAGTGGGTACAATTCTTAATTGATTTGAGTCCAAAATAGGGAAAATAGATAAGCAGAAAAGGGTAACAAACTCCATTCTCTGTCATCTTTCACATACCAGAAACAAGATATCCATAAACCATTTAATGCACTTACAAGGATTACCAAATTGTCAGACTAAAACAAAAAAAAAAATTAAAAATCTAGCACAAGAATCAACTAAATACTCAAAAAGGATCAAAATCAAATCCTTACCATGCTAGCAACAGATAAGAATCTGGAGCATAGGACCAGGATCAGGACCCATCTTCAGATCCCTGGGTTGCCAGTCATGAATGAAGCACAAAAAGCTCCCAGTGGCCTTATTACCTGGCTGGAACAGATGAGAATCTGAAGGCAAGGTCCAGTCCTGAGTCAGGGCACCAAACTGTCAAAGACAAAAGCCAGACAAGTTGGGAGACTAATATTATTGAGACTATTGCGACAGGGAGGTCGTCACCCCATCTGAAGATCTTCAGCTGTCTCAGCTTCTATAGAAAGGAATAAACAGGTTGCCAAAGATGTGGTTTACACTGTGGTTATAGTGCCAGCCCCGACAGTCCGTTAGCCATATAAATAGGAAATGTTGGTTATTTGTTTTTCTTTTATTCTGGTTTAGCTAGCTCTGAGCGCAGAGTTTTAATCTCAGCTAGTTAACCATGAGACAAAGAACTGGAAGCTGAGGTGTCTGTGTTTTGCCTTGTCAGCAGATTCAGACAGAAAGGGAAGTTTTGTTGGATTTTGTCACATGGTAACAAAGATCTCGAGGGAAAGTTTCAAGCTGAGGTAACAACAAAAGCAGTAAGCTTTCTAGTCACTCCTGAAGCTAGGCTAAGCCATGTCCCATTCTTCAGCCCAGCTGGCTCTACTGCATGGAATGCACTTAATTTCATGTCCCCACCACCTCCTTACATGTAGCCTCTCTCCCCACCTTAACACGTACATCCACATCTCTCCATTTTCACTGCTGCTGGCCAATCACTGTATCACCTTATCCCTTCAAGGCTACTGCACTACCCTCCTAAATGGGTCCTTCCTTCTAGTCTTTTTTCTCACAATTCAGTTTCCATAGAGCAGTCAGAGTGAAGTAAAGTGAAAATCTGATTTTGTAACTGATATATTCAAAAGTTTTCAATCTCTCGCTATTACCCTTCAGACATAGTCTATACTACATAGCATAACATTCAAGGTCTTCACGTTCTGGCTCACCTCCTTCCTCTCACCAGTCCTTAGTGGACCCTGCATTTCAGGGATATGGAACCACTCGCAATTCCCCCACATCCTATGCTCTTCTCCACGCCTAGATGCTTGCTTCTGTTTTTCCTTCTGCCTCCAATGCCCTCTCTCCGTCTAGCTAAGTCCCTAATGTATGTACAGACATACCTCAAAGATATCATGAGTTCAGTTCCAGACCACCATAATAAAATAAGTCACACGGTTTTTTAGTTCCCCGGTGCATATAAAATGTATGTTTACACTATATTGCAGTCTATTAAGTGCATAATGGCATTGCCTTTTAAAAAGTACATATTTTAATTTAAAAAGTACTTTATTACTAAAAATGCTAACCGTCATCTGAGCCTTCAGTGAGTCGTAGTTTTTTTGCAATAGTAACATCAAAGATAACTGATCACAGAGCGCCATAACAAATATTATAATAATGAAAACACTTAAAATATTGTGATAATTACTAAAAGTGACACAGATATGAAGTAAGTAAATGGTGCTGATAGGCTTGCTCCATGCAGGGTAGCCACAAACCTTCAATTTGGGAAAAAAACAAAGTATCTGCGAAGTGCAATAAAGAGGAGTGCAACTAAACGAGGTGCGCCTGTATACATGGAGTTCAGATGCCATCCACTCTGGGAACCAGCCCTGGCGCCTCTTCCTCTCTCAGTCTTCTCAAGCCTGAATGGGCTGAAATGCCTCTTTTCCATGCTCTCTTCTTTCATACTACTTACCACACCATTTGGAAATTTTCTCTTTCTTTGCCTGTCTCTGCAACTAAGCCAGAAGCTCCTGCATGTTGGAATTGTGCGTTCTTTATTGTTGTTCCGTGGCAAGGGGAGCTAAGTGGTTGCAGTAGTGACTGGGCATCAGACAAACACTCACTGAACATGCAAAATTAATTAAGTAGGTGAACTCATCAAGTGTCTTTAAAATTATACAACATGCTGGGATTACACAACACATCTCACAACTGTGTTGTGGAAACAAAGCAAGCTCAGGTAAAGCAGTTAGAAAAAGCTGAAGACTACGAGGTAGAACATGAAATAGAGTGATTTCTTTTTAAACAAATGTGTCTCATCTCCTGCCGCCTAAAGAAGGTTACCACCCACTAACCAGACACCTTGGGGGTCTGGATATGCACTTATTTCAGGATTGCCTTTCTTTACTCAAAACCAGGAAGGAATTCCTCCTTAGAACCTGATTCCTGAGACAGAATCTGAGCAAGCTGCATACTAAAATCAGTTCCATTCCTCTTTACTTAACCAACATAAAAGTCCCCCTGGCTTTCATGACTATGGGATGCATTCCTGAAGATCAAATCTGCATTTACAACTATCTTGGCTCTGCACCATGCCTTGTACATAAATAAGATTTGATAAATACTTGCTGAATCAGTGACTTGCAGAATATCTTCCCACTTCGGGGATGATTGTGATTTCTTTAATATGAGTCTTGATTTTATTCTCCCTAAATGCATTTTGCTTGCAATACCACTCATGATTATTCAGACCATAGTCAAAGTGAACAAAATAAAGCTTTATCCTTATCAGCCACATTCCTAAACATGAGTTACAGAGTCTGAAATATTTTCCGAAGCAGTGTGCTCTGAACCTGCAAAGCAGAACCACAGGTAAATTGCCTTTTAAAGACACTGCCTCTCAGGAGAGGACATTAATATGAAAGTTCAGAGGTTGAAACTATGTCTTAATTCGGGTTCCCCAGAAGCAGATCGTGACACAAGGATTTTTGGCAAGTAGATTTGGAATGAGATCCCAGGAAACATCAGTAGGGGGTTGGAGAATGGGGACAGGCAATAAAAAAAAAAAGCCAAAAGAGAATGCTATTGTGGGAGACCAGGTCTCAACCTCCAGGAGATGGTGTAGGACATGCCTCGCAGCTGACTCACTTGAGCAGTGAGAAATCTGGGATATTGAATGCACTAACTCCCATTAGTGGAGAACTAGTCCGAGGATATTAATTCCCTGGCATTTACAGCCCACCTGACGTCAGGTCTAGCATGTTACCTTGCCAGAGGGAGGCCTTATAGCATGAAGCAGTTTCCTGAACAATTGAGTCCTCAGGAGACTCACTCAGGTGAGAAACATGGGTAGTGTCTCTCACCCACACTTTGAACAGTCAAGTCCTAAACTGCAAGATGCATTCATACAGACCTCATTATATTTCAGCTGAACCTAGGCAGTTGGGCCTAGGTACAATAGGCTCTCTCAGCTGATACACAGGCAAAAAGAATTAGGAATTCCTTAGCTTCATTAAACTCCTGCAAAGTGCCACCCAATAACCGGATTTCTAAACTCTTCTCCAGAATTTTCATTCACTCCTTTTGTACCTAAATGAAACTAGTTACCTCAAGCAACTTAAATATGTATATTATTATTCTCTCCTTTAAACCTTGATTCCACCCACCTTAAGTGCCCTTTAGTTTTAGGCCCAGTTATCTTAAAAGCAGTCCCTGAGGCAAGGGTCCTAATGCAAGGGAGGTATTAAGGAAGTGCTCCTATAAGAAACTAGGAAGGGAGAAGAAGCAGAGGAGGGAAGAGAAAGGAACCAAACAAGGGTATGACTTCCATGAAGCCCCAAGCTGCAGCCGGATCCTGCAGAACTCCGGAACATAACTTACACTCTGGAGGTATTGTCTTAAGACAAAGGAGATGGGGCTATTGTATTCCCATAGTCAACCAAGCATTGGCATCAAGCTTCCCTGAGGGGATTGGAAGGCACTCCTGCCTCTCTATAAAGGAAAGGGGCCCCAGTGCCTGGGCACAGTCCTCTATAGCAAGCATGAAGAGGCCAGAGGAGGGATGTACAGAGCTGGTAAAAGGAATCTGAAGTGCTCTGGGTGGGGCACTTTAACTTCGCTTCATCTGTCATTTACAGATTTTTCCATTTTCTGGATGGTCACAAATTCTGGGGGAAGATTTATGAGAAGGAAGTTGGAATAAGCTAACCTGCTGCTGCATTTGGTCCTGAGGCCATGAGCAATTCCCCTCGTCTTCCTTCTCTATCACTCTTTTACATCCCCCCCTTAAGCTGTGGTCTGCGCTCGCACAGTGCACCTGACTTGTCTTCATCTGAGGAGTCTGGGTCCCTGGTTACCGTGTTTCATTGAGCCATACCATGGAAGTGCTAAGAGATGCCCCAGTAGGCTTCCTGAGTGCCAAGCATAGCCCTGCCTGCTCGCATTATATAGCAGCAACCTCTGCTTATACTAAGTGACCTCTGTCTCACCTCTCCTGATGCTGTACTTCCCCTGAGTTTTAGCCCAAGATCTCACCTCTTCCACAAAGGCTTCTGGATGCTTACAGACCTCAGAACTTTCTTCTTCCCATAACTCACAGAATTTACCGCTATGCCTCTCATCTGGCCTGAATCGCAGTCTGCATTGTGATTCCTCATTATGGGATTATTTTTGTATTGTCTTTGGAAAACGTCATTTGGTTGACTTGTGAGTGCACATCTTGTCTTTCCAGTGGAAACCTGAAAGTTTCACTGACTACCTCCAGTGCCTAGCACAGAGTACTCTGCCTCCCCAGGACTTGGTGAATGCATGTTGGATCAGCCACTGAACAGCTTACAGAACAGCACATTTGCACTGTAGCACTGGATCCTGATTTTTTCACTGGAACTCTTGCTTCCCAGAGTTCCCTAATTTCTTTGTTTCCAACCCCCCAATCATCTTTCAAACAACACAAAAAGGAAGCTTTGAAAAATTTAACTTTTCACATTTTGAAACCAGTTCAAACCCTTAAAAGTATATGTTTTTAGATATTTGATTACGAATTTCTTGCCGATAAAGGTCGTAAATGCTGCCACACAGAGAAATTTTCCCTTTTTGGCACTGCTCAGACCTTAAAATTTACAAACATGCTTTGTTTGAGGATAGTGGGTATTTGTGGAGAGGGCATAGAAAATGTTTCCAATCGTCACATAAAGAGGCAATTCAGCTTATATTGAACACCTTTTTTGTGCCAGGAATTGCACTAAGAACTTTATACAGACTGAGTTGTCCAGAGATGCTTTTTTTCTTCTCCTTTTCTCTGAAGCTCACATGTTGGAGTACTTTGAAACATATCATAGCCTCTCGTGGAAGCTTAAAGAGAAAGGGGGAATACTCAGGTCAATTCGTTTCACAATTAATTACTTCTTCTGGAAGGCTTTGCCTTGTAATTGTAGTATTTATCTCTATGTATTTATTATTTCTGATTGCTTCTGTTTTATGTACTCTATTCAGAAGCAAAAATTGAATACAGTAATAGAACTAATCTTGACTATGTGGCTCCAAGTATGTAATCTACTCTCCACAAGCAATACTGGGATGAAATAAAATATTTATATGACTGTTAATAAAGGTTAAGATATACTGAATGCTTGCTATGAGCCAGACAATCTGTAAAGCACTTTATATACATCATCTCATTCAAATACTCATCACAATTCCCAGAGATAGGTTCTACAATTATCTCTGTTTTATAGACACAGAAATTAAAACTCAGAGAGGCTGAATCAATTCCCAAAGATCATACAGCCAGTAAGTAGAGAAGCTGAGATCACACTGCACAGAGGAAAGAGTCCTGGTTCTTTATTTGGAGATGGCCGGCTAAGTTGCATTATCAGTGCTGGTCTTGCTACTTAAGAGATCAAAAGAAAAGCACACACTCTTTAAGCCTCAGTTTCTTCATTTATTGAATAAAACCCTCGATGCTCACACTGCTTATTCCCATCTATCTACACTCTCATTTGTCCATCTTAGAGCATTTAACTTGCACTGTTTTATACTTTGTTTATAAGAGTAACAGGTAGCTCTCAAAGAGCAGAAATTATGTCATATTCGTCTTCAAATCCATAGCTCCCAGGCCACTATTCTATATGGTTTAAATGCATTAACTCATTTAGTCCTCACAACACCATGCAGAAGGTTTTATTTTTATCTCCACTTACTTCACACTTAAGGAGGATACTGGACCCCAATCATGATTATGTTAATGATGTCAGATGGACCTGAACTTAGGTAGTCTGGCTCCAGAATCCATGCTCTTTTTTTTTTTATTAATTTTTATTGGAGTATAGTTGATTTACAATGTTGTGTTAGTTTCTGCTGTACTGCAAAGTGAATCAGTTTTACATATACATATATCCACTCTTTTTTAGATTCCTTTTCCATATAGGTCATTACAGAGTGTTAAGTAGAGTTCCCTGTGCTGTGCAGTAGGCTCTTATTAGTCATCTATTTTATATATAGTAGTGTGTATATGTCAATCCCAATCTCCCAATTTAATCCACCCCCTTTCCTCTTTGGTAACCATAAGTTTGTTTTCTACATCTGTGACTTTATTTCTGTTTTGTAAAAAAGTTCATTTGTACCATTCTTTTAGATTCCACATATAAGCGATATCATAGGATATTTGTCTTTCTCTGTCTGACTGACTTCACTCAGTATGACAATCTCTAGGTCCATCCATGTCACTGCAAATAGCATGCTCTTAATTACTATGCTATACACAAGAGTAATTTAATTTTTTCTTAAATCCAGGTCTAGTTTCAGAATGGAATTATATATACATTTTCCTCTCCACTTTCTCTTGACTCTTTAACTCTTGTTTCTGTTCTGTGACCTGTATTTATTTGTATGTAACTGGAGATGTGATTTTCATTGTACTCTACTTTAAAAATCCCAGATATTAAATCTCATATGTACATTAATATTAACATATCATTGATATTTCTTAGGAGCAACACTAAAAGAGCAAAGCCTTCCTCTAATTTTCAAGTTTACAACCTTAAGTGTAAAGGGTAGCCAAATTTGGCCACCCCAAAATATGCCACTTTGGCAAAGTATTATTTCGAACTAAAGGCATTTGAGGAGCAGACACAAAAATGCTCTCTGTTCTCCCCCTATTTGCCTAAAAGCAAGACAAAAATTTACAAAGGTGTCTTCCTTCCCCCCGCCCCTGCACCAGGAAGGACAAAAGTTAATCATCAGAGAAACTTTAGTTCCTTATTAGGCTGGTGGTGATGCTAGAGAAATCTACATAACAAACTTTACTAATTAGTCTTTAACCATTATCAGTTTTCCTTATATTTGCTTTCACACAATTTGCTGCCCCTAGATACCCAAAGTCCTTTTCCTTTATCTTGTCACTTCTCTAAAAATGTACTGTTCCCTTGCCACGCTTAAGTTCTAACCACCCCTTGAGTCTCTCCACTGTATACATGTTAGTGAACTTCTGTTTTTCTCTTGTTACTCTGTCTTTTGTTAGAGAGCCCTAGCAGAAAACCTAGAAGGGGAAAAAGATTTTCTTTTTCTCCTCCCCTACAAATGCAAGGACATGATCTTACACAGGTCCCGCAGAAGTCCAAGGTTTAGAAAGTCAGCACAAATCTAGGATAAAATCACAATGAACATAAGGTCCCAGATATGTTCATTTTGGCCTAGTAGGACACAGAAAACAGGTATAATACATAGGACCTAAAAAAGATTAACTAAGTCCCTCACCTTTAAAAAAATAAAATAACAAATGATTTAAGAATAAAACTAAATGAAATATCATTTAAAAAAATAAACACTGTGATTAAAAAAAAGGAAGCAGTAAAGCATCTAAAGAAAACTGATTGATCAACTAGGCATATCATTGTGAAAACCTAAAGGTATAACCAAAGACTATCCAAAAGAATTTAGACATGACCCCCAAAGACTAATATCTTTATAATATCTCTATAAATAAAGGACACCAAGACTAAAGTATAAACAGATTTACTTTTTAATGTGACTTTTTTTCATTTACTTAAAAATTTGCAATCAGGGAATATAAAATGAACATATCAGTCAAAACCGAGTGACTACTCCCCACGAGTTCTTAAGAGTTCTTAACATGTTACAGTTCATTGTTAGAGGCATAATCAAGATCACACACATACACACATTCTTCCCAGATTTCCAACAATTGTTTTGGGATCCACTAGTGAGAGATGCTCTTGTAAACACAAGTTAAACGAATAAAATAGAATAGGATAGGTTAGGACAGGATAGAATAAAATAGAGTAGAATACAACACAACACAACTCAACTCAACTCAAATGTATAGTTTGAAACTAGAGCAATAATATACGAGGTAAAGATAGATGTAGATGGTAGATAACAGATACAGAGCTATAGAGAGAGATTTCAATAAATGTGCCTTTAAAAATAAGGTTAGGGGCTTCCCTGGTGGCGCAGTGGTTGAGACTCCGCCAGCCGATGCAGGGGACGTGGGTTCGTGCCCGGTTTGGGAGGATCCCACATGCCGCGGAGCGTCTGGGCCCGTGAGCCATGGCCGCTGAGCCTGCGCGTCCGGAGCCTGTGCTCCGCAACGGGAGAGGCCGCAACAGTGAGAGGCCCGCGTACCAAAAAATAAATAAATAAATAAATAAGGTTAATCACAGTATTCCCTCAGATTGTTTAACTTTGTAAAAGTGATACTCCAAGGCTGTCCACGACCCAAAGCAAGTATGTGAATTTTTTCTTATCTATCTATGACAAGATGAGCACAGAAATTGAGAGTAAATCTTTAGAAACTTTTATAACAGTCTGACAGAAAAACTTCATGACTTTTGAATGTAGTAACAACAATGACAAAGTTTAGAGTTTCATTTTATGCCTTTTTATAATTTTTCTAGTAATTCATTTTTATTATATTTTACAAAAGAATCAAGCTCTGATGGGTTAGAAGTTTCAAAAAGAAAACTATCCATTTTCCACAGGTAGTTTGAGAAGCATGTCATAGAATTAAATTTGGTCAAGATGATGCTGTGTATTCTTCCCCTCTCTATGGTTGTACAAATCCACACATTTCGTTAGACTATTATTTCACCTTCCCAGGAATTGTAATTATTCACTTTCACGGTAGGAAAAATCAGAGGAGGTAGGTGAACTGAGAGAAAGTGGAAGACCATCTTCCTGCCTAGCAGCTGCAAGCTAGAACTGTAAACGAGGTATAAATTTAGGAATTCTACGGTCAGTGTTAGGTCAGTAGTTTCCCCTTTTATATCAATTGTCACAAGGTAATTTTTCTTGCATCTCCACACAGTTCTTCCAAACTTTCCTCTGGACTTTATGCCATCACTCACAGATACCACAAGACATCCTCTCCCTTTGACTTCTAGGCTCAAGGGCAGTGAAAATGCGGGGACCCTTTTAGGCTTTGGTGAGTTAAAATGCCATCTGAGATTTGCATCTGTCCCCGCCCCCGCCCCCTTGCTTTGGTGGCACTTATTATATGGATGCGATTTGTTGTCCGTGTAGGGCTGAGCTGACTCCCAGTGGAATATGTATATACTGGAGGTGCTGAAGAGTGTCCAGGGCTAAGGTTTTTCCTGCAAAAACAGAGCTGTAAGCCTCAAGCTCACACCACCCATTTATCTTGCTTAGCTCCAAACCACAAACTGTACAAAAGGTACTTGCCCAGATTTGTTTACATTTCTGTCACGTTTTCTGAAAAGAGAAAAGGGCTAACTTCCAAATTCACTTCTCAGAAAATTGAAAACAGTTAACTGACCTTAGAGAGCATCTGCCTGGCCCCGACGTCACATCCTTGTTTCTTGGTCCACTTGTCTCATGACCAAGCCCCAGAGCTCAAAGCTCCTATAAGATATAAAACCACTGCTGATTGCCAGATGTCAGGGTCATTGCCCTTTTAGGCTGACCCTTCTATTAGTAGCAAATAAAGGTGCTTTCTTTTTTTCCTCACCTCTATATCCTTCAACAGGAGATTTTTGTCAGAATATAGTCCACCTTGTGGCCAGGCAGTTCTTCCTCCAGAATTCCTTTAGGTACACTCTGTGAGCTGAAATGTATGTGCTGATGTCCAGTTTAATGCTGTAGATTACACATTTTGAAAAGGAACTCAGAATGGAAGGGATACTAATGTGTCCTCCATATAGTAGATAAAACAGCTGGAAGAGAATTTAAATAATCATTGACTGAACCCCACTTTCCATTGATCTGTAACCCACATGTCCATCAGGACAACTGGAAGTTCCTAAGGATACTTATAGCCAGTTTTGTTAAAAATGACATCATCTTCTAAAGAGGTTTAGGCCGAATGGCTGCCTATATTCCTGTTTCTCAGAGAGTAGAAGTAGTCAGCTAATTTAAAAACAGAAAAAAAAAAATAGAAGGGAAAATAGAGTTCTAAAAAATCCATGTTAATATTTTACAATATAAGGAAAATTAGATGAGCTACAGTTATCCTTCAAATGAGTGTAAAAGGGAAAGGGCTCAAAAGCATCTATTACACATAATAGATGCCTAAAAAGAGAACTCTGGGAATAGCAACGATAAGCTTGTAGGATAAAAGGAAAAAATCTAAAATGTGTCCAATATACTAATTATTGTGAACATCTTAGTGGTTTCTATTAAAAGAGTCTCTTCTAAACCTCAAAATAAAATACAAGAAATTGTAGCCTACGAGATATGTTTAATATAACAAAATGAAAACATGCATTCAAAGTATAGGCAATAGGGCCAAAAGAGTAATTAATCAGCAAAAGTGTACTAATTAATGCTATTACTATTCCTAAGGGAATACCAATACAATAAACTACCCTCAAATATGTATTAAATAAATAAATATTTAAAATCCATCAAGAGAGAAAAGATGACAACATATCATGATTAAAAAAACAAAAAGATAAAATAAAATTGATTTCTGCTAATATGATAGCAATATTACTAGTGCTTTGGAAAATTCATAAAATTTATATATTTGGATTTAACTGATTTATCAAAAACTAAAAAATATAACAATTAATAAAACTTGGAATAAAAAATGAGAAACCTAGCAAATTCCTTGTACCTGTATAATATCTATTATTTTATTGTGTCTAGAGTGATGTAAATCAGTGTCTGGCTTCCCTAGTAGATTGAGACCTTAGTGGGGATGGTGGATAGGTTATCTTCAGGTTTTGGTTACCTACATAATGAGTACTCAGTAAATGTTTTTAAGTAACGGAGAATGTGAAGAAAAAGAGATTCTTAAGTTACAGGATAAGATCAAGAGATTGAAAACAATATAAAAGGTTAATAGCAACTTAAAAAATTAAAGCACCTAAATCTGACATATTTACTGGGTAATTTTTCCAGGCATCTAAAAAGAAGGGAAAAGAAAAATAAGAGTAAACTTTTATTTTTTGAAAAATGATATATGTCAGGCACCATACTCAGAAGACACTGAAATATCAATGTTTGTGAATGTGATTGTATAAGTAGAAAATAAGAGAAAAATCCTAAAACAAATTAAGTTCCTTTTGTTGTAGGATATCAGAAAACCCCAAGCATTACAATTAAATTCTTAAGTACTGATGACAACTAGAATGTGAAATGAATGGAGTCCATTCCTGGCAGCAAAAACTGAGTACTTATGAATTAATGCATTAAGAAATAGATGCTCATCAAAACACACACACATGTACTACCCTAAATGAATGTACAAGAATACATACATCAATGAAGAGGGAAAGTCTCCGCCTGCATTCTCCTACGTAGCAATCCATTTCGGTGATACTATTCCTGAACCCCATCATCCCCCAACCACACTTCACCCTAACTTCCACCACCAGATTGATTATCCTAAAACAGACACTTCTGATGCATCCTTACTGTTTTTTATTTATTGTATTTATTTATTGCAGTAAGCACATTTAACATGAGATCCACCCTTTCAATAAGTTTTTGCGTACAATGCGGTATTATTAACTGCAGGCGCAATGCCATACAGCAGATCTCCAGGACTTAGGCTGCATAACCGAAACTTTATGCCCTTTGAATAGCAACTCCCCAGTTCCTCCCTCTCCCAGCCCCTGGCAACCACCATTCTCCTCTCTGCTTCTATGAGTTTGACTATTCTAAATTTCTCATATAAATGGAATCGTACAATATGTGTCCTTCTGTGACTGGCTTATCTCACTTAGGATAATGTCCTCCAGGCTCATCCATTTTGTTGCACTCACTTTTCATATTTATTTTCTGATTTCTCCAAACTTACCTACTTTCAATGCCTAGGCCACATGATCCCCACCCCTGCATTTTTCTATTTGTGTGCCTTTCGTGAAGCTTTTCCAGATTTTTCCAACTGAGGCGACCTATCCCTTCATCATATAACATTTAGTCTTATAGTATCTGCAGCCATTTACTGAAACCTGACACTCCATGTGACATTTCTTGTAGGTTTTGCTTGTACTGCAATTTAACAGTCTGTGTGTTTCTGCCGAATGTTTTCAATTCAGTTAAATCTGTGTCCTATACAGCATCTATATCCCTCATCATATGTAGCAGAGTGTTTTACAGTAATTATGCAGTAAATATTATTTAACCCATTGGATGGTTGTAAACTCCTTAAGAGAACATTTCATTTACCTTAGTAACCCCAAGCGCTAGGAAGTATCTGACGTAGTTAAATGCTCAAAAAATGTTGAGCTTTGTGTGGGGATAACCAGAGAGAAAGGAGAATGCAGTGATTTGGCTGAGAACATATTGCTGCATGCAGAGGTCAATACTTAGCTCTCTTCTCATTTGACCTGTCAGCAGCATTTGACCCAGCTGGTGACTCCTCCCTACTGGAAACACTTCCTTCACTAGACTTCTAGGACATTTCCTCTCTTGGTTCTCCTTCTATGTCACTGACTGTTTCTTCTCAGTCTATTTTGCTATCTCTCTGTCTTCTCCCAGCCTCTTCACCTTGGAATACCTCAGGAATCAGTCCCTGGTCCCCTTCTTTTTTGTCCTCTTCTTTTCTAATACTCACACCCTAGGTGACCCCATTAGTTCATGGCTTTAAAAAAATAACTAGGTGCTGATAATTCCCATATATACATACATCTCCAATCCTGACACCTTCATTAGCTCAAACCTATAGTGTTCAGTGCCTACTTGATATTTCCCCTGGGATGTCCAATAAATGTTTCAAATTTAGTATATCCCAAGATGCACTCTGAATCTTCCTCCTTAAGCCTGACCCTCCAGCAATATTCCTCATCTCAGCTAAGGGTGAAAACATCATTCTTCCTGAATCCCAGGCACTTCTGACTATCTCATTCTCTCACATCTCCACCCGTCAGGAAACACCTTTGTGCTCTACCTCCAAACTATGTACAGATGCCAACTTCTCACCTCCCACCCGTCCGCCAACCTGATCTGAGCCATCGTCATTGTTCCTCTGGATTGTTACAGCAGTACCTGCAATTGCTTGCCCACATGGCAGCCCGAGAGATCCTTTGACAGTTTAAGTCAGATCACGTCACTTCTCTTTCACAACCCTGCAACAGCCCTCCATCTCACTCAGAGTAAAACCCAAAGTCTTTACGAGGAAATATACAATTGGACTTCCCATGTTCCTCTCTGACCTCATCTCCTATTAATATTTCCTTCCTGTTCACTCCCCTCTAGCTACAATGCCCTCCTTCCTATTTATTTCAGTTCTCTATTGCTCCATAACAGAATCCCCAAATTAAGTTTTGTTGTCACCTCTGTGGCTCTGTAGGTTGACTTCAGCTGGGCATTCTTGCTTCAGGTTTCTTGTACGGTTGCAGTGCATGGTCAGCTGGGTCTGAAGTCATCTGAAGGTTTAAAGACCAGGGCATCCAAGATACCTGAGTCCTATGTTTGACAGTTGATGCTGGGCTTGTGGACCAGCGCCCCTCCATGTGGTCTCTCTGTGTGCCTCGGACTTCTTACAGCATGACAGCCAGGGGACAGTCAGTGTTCTGAGAGTCAGCATCACGAGAGCAAGTGTTAAAGAGGCAGGAAGTAGAAATTTCCAGGCCAGCTAAGAGCCACACCTGCAACTGGCACAGTGACACTGAAGCCATATTCTATTGGCTTAAGCAGTCATAGAGCCTGGCAGGATTTAAGGACCTGGAGAAATAAACTCCACCTGTTCATGGGAATGGGGCAAAGTCTCATTGCAAAGGAGCATGTGGGATGGGAGATAATGGGGCAATCTTTGGAAAATATACTCCGTGGAGCTATTTTTCAAACACATCAGCTGTACTCTCACCTCAGTGCTTTGCACTAGCCTTTCCTTCTGCCACGAATGCTTCTCTCCCAGTATCAGCACGCTTTGCCCCCTCGTTGCTTTCAAGTCCTTGCTTTCTCACTTACTTCAGCTCTGCTGATATGTCACCTTCCCCATGAGCCCGTCTGTGGCCACCCTATTTAACATTATACATAAACACTCTCCCTTATGACCAGGTGCTCACAATGGCCCATGACATAACCATTGAACTTCAGGTTCCTCTGCTGCCCACAAGTGCCTGAACTGTGGCTTGCCCTCAATTTTCAGCAAGCACTAAACCACTAAGGTGCAGAATATCCCCTTCTTCACAAAACATTCTGAGAATCTGCTAACCACACAGAAAAACATTTCCCCATTAAAAGAGCCCAGTGATGCCACCTGTTCACCCCACCCTATTCACCCACTTGCCCTGCTACCCCACAGATTTCCTGTCAGTTCTTCCCCACTCTCCAAAAAAGAAAAGCCTTTTTTGGTTTAATTTTGAGAGACTTGCCGATTTCTGGGATCAAAACATTCTCCCTATTAGAATAATCATTTTAAATAAAGTCTCTCTTTATCTAAATCCATATTTATTTCGATTTGACACTCAGCACTCTTAGTCCTTTTCACCCTACACCATTTTTTTCATATCACTTATTACTTTCAAACATACTGTATATTTTATCTATTTAGTATGTTTCTTGTCTCTCTCCCTTTATTAGAATATAAACTGCATGACAGCAGGATGTCTTTCTATTGTGTCTACTAAATTCCCATCACCCAGTACACACATTGTGGGTGCTCAAAAATCATTTGTCAATTTAATGCATAAACCCTCTCCTGTGGTGTAATGAAAGCAAGTCCATCCAGCACATAAAGATAGAGAATAAAGAAATATTGGCTACTGATCTGGGATCTCATTCTCCACGGCAGGTAATTGAGCCTTTGACACGTTCCTTGAGGCAGTTTCTCCTTTCAATCATGTGGTTCCTATAAAACTCTAATTAGTGTTCTGTCATATTATCCTTAGTCCTTCCTAACTCCTTTCCCTCTCTGCCCTTGAACTTAGCTCAGAGACTGGAACCTGGTTATTTGTGAACAGTTTCCCCTGATGCTGCTGGACCACTGCATTTTCAATCATTTTCTCTTGACATGCTCTTGTTAACTTGTGTTGAGTTTATACCCTGTCTAATCCCAGCCATTAGTCTAGACCTTCCCTATAGTCTGTTACATGTTCTCAGATGTTATATTGTCCTATGGTCTGGACCGTCTTGCTTCCTCTCCAGCTGATCTGTCCACCCGAGCTTGCCCCGCCTCAATGGGCAGGTACACTACTGTTTGTGACCCCTCCTAATCTTCCGCATCCTACTTTAGCAAACTAAGTCCCTGGTAGACACATCCTGAGGCAGAAGGAAAAGAAACTAATCTCTTCTTCATGATCATGCACTGGTAATATTTATGGAGTGAATTTTTGTCAGAAAATCTAAGGGCACAGTGATTTTGTTGTCCAAGTTATTCCTCCTTTCCTAGGATCTAGGCAGAGAGAGAAAGAGAGGGGGAAGGTCAAAAGTCTTAGGATCATAATGACTTTCAATTTGTGACCATATAATTTACCTTGTTATTACCCACTGTTGCTCTTTTAAACAAAAATATCAGAGCCCTATTCAAATGAATGGGATACCAATGCCTCAGAGTTTCCCTCAAGCATTGCTAGTAAAGGGGCAATCTTCAAATTTATTCAAACTGCGTATATCTCTTGAGTTTCCAAAACTGAGCTGGAAATCCGTTAAAGAAAATTTATGGGATTTTGGCCCAGGAGGGAAAGCACGAAAGCTAGGATATTCCAAACTGTGAGGAAAATCTTCCCTCATGTTGAAAAATAAAATTTTGTTTTCAACTCTTCTTTTAAATGTAGGAAATATCTCACACTATCTTTTATATCTTCCCTGTCTTGTTTTCCAATTTTATATCTTCAGATGAGGCAGAGGGTGAAAGAAAAGGCCCTAGAATCCAGGTGGATAGCCTTGGGTTCTACCTTCTTGTGATCAACATCTGAGTCTCATCTATGAGATGTAAATAATAATTTATTTACATGCCCCATGGGTAATAATGTGAATTAAACAAGGAGGGCAAATTGAAAATATTTTTACTAATAGACATATAACCAATTGCAAATTGGAATGTAAAAAAGCAGTATAAATGGAAATATATTTGTATTGGATAATTAATATTTGTAAATACCATTCCCCCAAAATAATATATAAATTAAATATATTTGCAAAATGAGTCTAAAATTTAACTAGAATAATAAATGTATGAGAATAGCTGAGATCTGATGAGGGGGGAGAAAGGAAGAATAAGAATTGGTTTATCCTATCTAACATAAAACGTATGATTAAGCTAAAACAGACTTCTCAACTGGGGGTAGTTTTTTCCCCAAAAGGATATTTGATCATGACTTTGAGACATTTTTGCTTGTTACTGGTGAGCTGGATGTGCTGCTGATCTCAGTAGGTAAAGGTCAAGGATGCAGGTGAACATCCTGCAATGCACAAGATTTCCCTGGACAACAAAGAATTATCCAGCCCAATATGCCAATAGTGCTGAGGTTAAGAAACTGAACTCAAAGTATTAAAACTGTGGTGCAGGTATGGGGACCAATAGACAAATACTGGTGCAGACTGGAAAGTCCAAGTTCAGTCTCAAGTATACACAAAGGTGTTACATCTGATAAAAATGTCCCACCAGTTTGGGAAAGTACTCAGCAAATGTTAGTGGATCAACTGACTAATGGATTGCAAGGAATAGAATTACCACCTTATTTCACTCAAAAAGATTCAACATTTTTTATCCAAGTAGCTAAAGAAAAAAATAAAGTGAATAGTAATTTAACCTTGGGGTGGAGAAGCTATTTCTAGAAATAGCATTCATTCTACCTATCATTTAAGATGCAGTGTGTTGCAGTTCCTGAGCCACATCCCTGTGAAGAGGGAAGTGGGAGGGTAAACATTTCTATCTCCTGGAAAACAAAGGAAGTTTCAGCTCTGGGGAGGCTAGCTTATGCCTGCAGATAAGCAAGAGGCCTGATTAAATAGGGCTTTGTAAAAGGAGCTTAAGTTTCACTTCTCAGTCTATGCTTTCAAACAAGAATAAAGAGTGTACCCAAAGAGATATGGATGCTGAAGCATTAAGTCCCAGCTCCAGTGATTAGCCTCTGTCTAGAGAACACAAACACCCAGAAGTGCACGCGTTGCTTCCCCTACTCATGACTGCAGACCTACATTTTAGTCTTTGCACCTGATTTATTGTTATAAATGTATTATTCTACCCCTTGAAAACCAAATGGATTGGGTCACCTTGATTGATGAAAACAAAATCAACTGCTTTGGTGTCATTTTCCAAGAAAAGGGTGGTTATATTATATATGAGAAAGTAAAAGGATACAATTAGAAGGTGATCCCTCCAGCTAAAAACAAGGAGAGCTTTTCTTTAATATGGCTGCAAGTCCTCCTTTTTGTTTGACGTTTCTCCTTTAAATTCCCCATATATCATCTCTGTGGGCAAACCTGGAGGAAAGAAGCTCAGGTCTGACCTCAAAACTATAACATACAGAACTGTATTTGCAACTATTTAGTTCCAAGGGGCCGTGTACAATTCAATCATAGTTTTGGTTGCGTTTGGAGATGCTCTTCCTAGTCTGTTGTTCCTCATTCACTTATGACTTGTGCGTAGGGATCCATATTGGCCTGTGACATTTTTCGGAAATGGAATATGGAGCTGATCCCATTACTAGTTGCATCACAAGTGAGAAGGCAATAACAGAAGTGGAGGATTTGGGCTCTAGAAAGCAGATGAGTTTCTCTGTTGAGAAAATGAGAGCTGAGCACAGGGATGGTGGATTATATATTAAATGAAGAGATAGAGTATCAAATTAGACAGCACAGCCTGTTGTATCAATATTTCAAAAAACATTTCTAAACCTGCAAAGAATATTTCTAAACCTTTACATATAAATACAATCATGGGTTTAAGTATCAAGATATTTTAGGACTACAGTAAGTGTACAGAGGTTGGACAAACTTTCCTTGACAATACTGTCTTTCTGTAAAAAGATTTCTCAGCCTGCTCCAATCCTCAGTTCCTTCTCTGAATTATCCACATTACCTGCTCAATCATTTGTTTTTTACAAAATTTCCTTTATTTTTGCCATTTTAAAAGAAATTTGAATTGTCATTTAACTTGGCACATAACTGTGCCTGGGCTTTCCATGTTGGTTTTGAGCAGCTTGAGGGCAGGGATTTTGCTTATTTTGTATCCTCCAGAGTATAAAGCATAATTATTTCTGCCCAAATAGTGGCATTTATGATTTTAAATTATAACTGATTAATGAATCCATACAAGTGAGTGGAAGATAGAATAATATCTCATCTACCCAGAATTCACTGCTCCAGTAGTCTTATCTTTTTGAAACATATGAAAGAACCATTAGAAAAAGAAAAGCTTTCAAACATCCAAAAAGGATATTATGAAGTTCATTTGTACCATCTTAAATGAGGATGAAATAACTAAAGGGAAAAACCTGAGATGGTTACAGCTAGGAATTATTTTAACAGTGTGACACAGGAATTAGTATAGGGTAAATAACTTTTGACCCAGTGAAGCAGACTTTTTTCAGATAGCATGAAACCTGGGTTTTTTTTTTTTCTTTTCATCAAAGGCAAACAGCCTACACCCCTCTCCTTGCTGCAGAGAGAAGACACTATTCCCAGATAACAAGGAGCTTTTCCAATATAATTTTGCAGAATGTACTCTGGAGAGGTTGGCGGGGAACCCTCAATTTTCAGCATTTTCATAGCTGTGTGCAGTAGGAAAAAGAATGACTAAAAGAAATGAATAAATGAAGCCTCTGCTCATAATGGGTATAGGAGGAATTATGGACAAAGAGTTTGAAAATTCTCTGGAGTTAGATCTTCAACACAGAGATAAGGTAATGACTTTCATGAAACAAAAATATCTGACGTATCTGTCATAGACAAGTATGAAACACAGAAGTGATTAAGCAAAACAGGTAGAATCAGACATGCATCAGTAAGAACATCCAGGCGAGAGCAAGAGAGCAATACTGCCCTTAATATATTACTGAAGGGTTCACCATCACCTAAGTGAAGAGGTATGGGAGGTATCAACCAGTTATGTTACACCTACATCAGGATATCACTGGTACTCTGAGATGGTATATCATTGTGCTTAAGTAAACCAATTAGCAAGCCATTCATAGCTGATCTTATATATTAAATTAGTCATTCTCAGCTGGTTCTTTGCATTAACTTTTAAAAGGATCAAATAAAAAGCACCATTCAGGTATTGCCGGAAAGAGGTTTTCTACAGCAGTTCAGATCCAGTTTAGTTGCTCAGAGTGACGGAAGCTCACACATTGAGATAGAAATGACTCAATAATTTTTCCCTCTGAAGTTTATAAACGGAATAAAATTGCTATTAGAAATGCAAAGAAAAATCAAGTTAAAACCCCTGATAGGGCTTCCCTGGTGGCGCAGTGGTTGAGAGTCCGCCTGCCGATGCAGGGGACACGGGTTCGTGCCCCGGTCCAGGAAGATCCCACATGCCGCGGAGCGGCTGGGCCCGTGAGCCATGGCCGCTGAGCCTGCGCGTCCGGAGCCTGTGCTCCGCAATGGGAGAGGCGACAACGGTGAGAGGCTGGCGTACCACAAAAAAAAAGAAAAAGCCCTGATAAAAATAAAATAAGTCAATTTTGTTAAATTTTTAAACGTGCATTTTAAAACCTAAATTTCCAAACCCCCTTTCTGACTTTGATATTGGTAACTTAAATAGGGTTAAATTAAAAAGCAGTGTTTGGGTTTGACGGTGACAGAGCGTGGGTTCTAGACCGCTCTCTGTCCTCCCTACTGTAAACAACCATAAGACTGGACAAAATATACGAAGCATTTTCGGAGGAGAACCGCGAGAGGTGTGGGGGTGTGGAGGGACAGGGCCACTGGGGAGCTGTAACGCCAGCCAAAAAGAAAACGCATGTGGTGAGCTCAGTGCTTTCCCGGCCTTCTGCCTTGAGGAACGTTCAGGGCTGCCACATGTCCCCAGAAACAAAGCCCACGGAGAGAACAGCAGTCTTGCTGGGCTGAGGAGGCAGAGGTTAGTGCTGAAGGCTGTTAAAGCCACTGGAATTTGCAGGGCAGTATATACCAAAGAGAAGGGCCCTATGCAGACGGAGTCCCCAGAAAGACACAGGGGAAATATCCACGGATCCCTGCCCAGGGCAGGACTGCACACATGTGAAGTGGCTCTTCCAGAGCTGAAGGGAAATACCGCAGGGCTTACAGACTGTTTCTGCGTACAAAGGAGGCAAATTAGAATCCAGTAACTGTTGGTGGGAATGTAAATTGATACAGCCACTGTGGAGAACAGGATGGAGTTTCCTTATAAAACTAAACATAGAACTACCATACGACCCAGCAATCCCACTACTGGGCATATACCCTGAGAAAACCATATTTCAGAAAGAGTCTTGTACCACAATGTTCACTGCAGCTCTATTTACAGTAGCCAGGACATGGAAGCAACCTAAGTGTCCATCAACAGATGAATGGATAAAGAAGATGTGGCACATATATACAATGGAATATTACTCAGCCATAAAAGGAAAGGAAACTGAGTTATTTGTAGTGAGGTGGATGGACCCAGAGTCTGTCATACAGAGTGAAGTTAAGTCAGAAAGAGAAAAACAAATACCATATGCTAACATATATATATGGAATCTAAAAAAAAAAAAAAAAAATGGTACTGATGAACCTAGTGGCAGGACAGAAATAAAGATGTAGACATAGAGAATGGACTTGAGGACATGAGGCAGGGGGAGGGGAAAGCTGGGGGGAAGTGAGAGTAGCATTGACATATATACACTAGACTACACTGACTATGTAAAATAGTTAGCTAGTGGGCAGCAGCCGCATAGCACAGGGAGATCAGCTCAGTGCTTTGTGACCACCTAGAGGGGGGGGATAGGGAGGGTGGGAGGGAGACGCAAGAGGGAGGGGATAAGGTGATATATATATATATACTTATAGCTGATTCACTTTGTTATACAGCAGAAACTAACACAGCATTGTGAAGCAATTATACTCCAATAAAGATCTGTTAAAAAAAAAGAATTCAATAAGTAAAAATAAAATAAAAGTATGCAATTTAAACAACACACTTCTAAATACCACATGGGTCACAGAAGAAATCACAAAGGACATTTAAGTATTTCAAACAATCAAAATGAAAAGGCAACATATCATAATGATAAAAAGGCATAAAGAAAGGTAAAGAAAAGGTAAAATTTTAGGAAGAGGCTAAAGCAGTGGTAGAGGAAAATTTGCAAATTTAAATACTTATATGTAGACCAAAAAAAAAAAAATAGCTAAGAATCATAAATGACCATCTGTCCATAAATGATGAAAAATGAGATACCAGAAATAATCACTAAAGCTTTGTAGCTTCTACTTGAACATCCTTTGCATGTTATTTTTTGAAACCAGGTCCTCTGATTGTTTTGGTTTACTTTTGTAAAATTTATTTCTACTTTTAAATGTTCAAGAGACTTTAAAAAGGCCCAAAGGCCCAAATATGTCCAGGTTTAATATAATATCAAGCCAAGGTGGTATCTGTTGGTTCCTCCATTGCCAAAACCTCGATTTGATGCTGGTTAATTATACACCTTGATAATTCTTCTAGCTGGGTAGTGGTGATGTCCTCTGATTCCTGGCATCTTCCATAAATGGCAAAACAAGAACAACAACAACTAAGAATCAGTGATTTGTGTTTCCATTATAAAAGGTTAGAAAAAGAAGAGCACCGTAAACCCAAAGTAAATAGAAGGAAGGAACTAATAAATATGAAAACCTAAATCAATAAAATAGTACACAAACTTTATGGAAAGTAAGAAAGGCAAAAATTTTATCTTTGAAAAGAACACCAAATATGTCCAGAGTGCATATAATGTGCCACTTCTTATGCTATCTCTTACTCAGATTAAAACAAGGCAGTCCACTCTGCCCCTACCCTCAAGTTCATCATATTTGAAGTTTCACAGATGTTTTTCACAGGATGGTTCAACTATAAAACTAGCTGGAAGTTTATCTAGTCCAGCAGTGCCTAGACCATAATAGGAGCTCGACCAATATTTATTGAATAAATGATTGAATTATTTCCTTTAACAGATGAGGAGGTCCAGTGAGAGGAAGGGACTTCCCTCAAGGTCACCAGAGTCTTTAAGTGGTGGATCCTGGATTCACAACTTACCTCTGGACTCTGGGTTTTGTCCTCTACACCAGACAATATTTTCTACATTAACCAGATCAGACTGTAGTTTCAAACCTCTATGCCTCTAGAGAACCCTAATAGCTAGTTCTGTTTTGGTTTTTTGAATTTTATTTTATTTTTTTTATACAACAGGTTCTTATTTTATTTTATTTTTATTTATACAGCAGGTTCTTTTTTTATACAGCAGGTTCTTTTACTTTATTTTTTTTATACAGCAGGTTCTTTTATTTTATACAGCAGGTTCTTTGTAATTTTATGCAAATTAGTGTATATATGTCAATCCCAATCTCCCAATTCATCCCACCCCCCCACTTTCACTAGTTCTGTTTTTAAATTGCCCTGGCAGCCCATCTTACAGCAACATTTCATTAACATTCTTCTTCTTCTTTTTTTTTTTTAAATATCAGCTTGCTAGCCAGGGAGTCCATTGAGAGATGAGAAAGGGGAGAGTTAATGGGCCCAAAAACTAACATTGGAACTTCCAACTCCAGGCAGGCAGCACAGGTGGAGCTGAACTGTGTTTACCCACTCTAGCAGCCACCCTTCTCAAGCTCTCTCCCCTCCCTAGCACTGCTCCTTCTAGTAGATTGAACCTGTTGAACCAAATTTTCCTGAGACAGAGTTCAGGTATAATTGAGACTTCCCACCAGTGGAGAAATTCCAATGGAAATCACCATGAAATTGAAATTGAAATTGAAATTTGAGTTTTGAAATTAAAGGGAATTTCCTTTACAATGGAAATCACAGAAAAAAAAATAATATTGAAACAGGAGGGAAGGGGGCAGGGCACAACCTTTGAAAGAATGACAGAGCCCAAGAACATGACAAACTGATTAGAACCAAATGAGTCCAAGATGGCTGACAAGTCAACTTCCACTAGACCTTGAACCTCAGTATACGCTCACTGTAACACATCAGCAAGCTAAATGACACACCCACAGGCACCATGACAGTTCCAAGACCGACCATAAGGATAAAAAAAGTGGGTGGTGGCCCAATTCCTGGAAATCCCCACCCTTTCCTGAAATAGCTGGAACACTCCTCCCACTCATTAGCCTATGAAATTACCCACCACTATAAAAACTGACAACCCCATACCCTGATGCCTTTCTCACCTTCTGAGATGGCCCACACTCTATGGAGTATGTTTCTTCTAAATAAATCCACTTCTTACCTATCACTTTGTCTCTCACTGAATTCTTTCTGCACTGAGACTTCAAGAACCCGAGCTTCATTAAGTCCTGAAACCAGGTGTGTGATCTCAGTTGGAAGACCGTGGGTTTTGGCTGGGTTGGAGTCCCGGCCGTGTGGATTCAAGTCCCAATCTGGGTTTTGGCCGAGTTCGAGTTCTGGCACGGGGTGTCAAGTCCCAATCTGAGGTGCACTGTTTCAATATTGTCATAATCCAAGTAGGATCAGCAAATGGTCAGATTATAGCAACTCAGGTCACAAGGAGGCAGGAAGAAGCCAGCACTATGAGAGAAATGGTAGGAGACTTAGGAAGGAAGTGCTTTTAGGGGCTGGCACGTGAAAAGGCATAACGTGGTTTACCTCGTAAACAAATATATAAAATAACAGTCAGTACTTATGTAGCATGAACTGTAAGTCAGGAACTGTTCTAAACACTTTGTAAGATAAATGTTAAATTATTTAATCTTCACAACAACCCTCCCATATAAGTACTGTTATTATCCCCATTTACAGATGGTAAAACTGAGTCAAAAAACTCACTTAAATTCACAGAGCTAATAAGTAGCGCAGTCAGGCTTTAGATGCAGGCAGTCTGGTTCCAAAGTCCATGCTTAACACTGCCCCCCACAACACACACACACAAAGAATCGCTCTGGGTGTATGTATGGACATGAGCTCCTGATCAGATAGGCAGACCAGCTCCTGAATTCTCTTCCAGAGGCTGAAACCCTGCAAAATAATGACAAACACTCACTGAAACTCAAGCTTTGCTAACAGTTAAGTGTATAAATACCAATTATATCCATTCCTTCCTTCCTCCATTTATTTGTTACTGATCATTTGACCAACTAAGGAATGTGTAGATATGAACTAAGTTAGTGATCGGAAGGAATAGAAGACTGTTTTGGGGGAGTGCATCACAAATATTTATTTAGCATCTACTACATGCTAGTTTCACAAATTGGAGACTGAATAGGATTTAGAGAGGGATTTAGAGAATATTTACATAGCAGGTATCTGTGATTAGAAGGTATCTAAGTTCTGTGCCAGTCATGTCATGTTGTCCCCGCTCTTATGGAGCTTACATCTAAAAGGAGAGACAAATATATATATATATTTAACATCTTTATTGGGGTATAATTGCTTTACAATGGTGTGTTAGTTTCTGCTTTATAACAAAGTGAATCAGCTATACATATACGTATGTCCCCATATCTCCTCCCTCTTGCGAGGAGAGACAAATACTAATCAACTTATCCATTAGACAAGGTATAGCTGCAGAGTGAGGCACTCTGAAGGAAAGGAAGGCAAGTATTAGTGATTCACACAGGAAGCTGAGCTGGCCCTGGGCAGCCTGCCTCGAGAAGGAAAGGCTTGGGCTGAGAGCCCCCAAGAATGAAAAAGCTTTCCTTGATGACACAAGAGTGATACAGAGAAAGTTCTAGTCAGAAGAAGCAGCACTTGCAGAGGCAAGAGGGAGCAGGCTCCGAAGCTGCAGGGCGCGCCGGCCCCACGGCGAGGCGCAGGGTGGAGGTGACCGGACGCTGTAGCGGGAAGCAGAAGGCGGGCCACGCAACATCTGAGAGCTCCAGGTCTTCGTGCAGAGGCCCCGGGAAGCCACGGGAGGACGTTCACACAGTAGTGACATGAAACAAGCAACACCCGATGCACCCAGGCAGTGACTAAACAAATAATGAAACTCAGATCCTTCTTCCTCCGGACCTCCAACCTCACTGCATGCACACCAGCATATGAAATTCAGCCAGTAGAGGTCCTCGCCAAGCCCCCAGATCAGGAGCCTCAATGCTGGCAGAGGCTTAGACATCTAGTCACCCCACCTACTAGGTAAGCACTAACTTGCCCTCTCTGAGGCCCAGGCAACCTCTAACCCGTGTGAAACTAGATATCAGGACTCAGCCTAGGCTTAAGAGCTGGGTAATCTCCTGCAAGTTAAGTCATCTCCATGAGTCTCTGTTTCTTCAACTGCACAAAAGGGGATTGTAGTGTCAATTGATTATTAAGATAATGTAGGTAATCTTTCCAGCACCACCCAATCTTTGGTATGTGCCCAATAAGTGACAGTTTTATCTGAATGCATTCATTCTGAGTGATATCATTCACCCATTTGATCCTCACAATGTGGAATGGTTATTATTTACCCCACTCCATTTTGCAGGTGATAAAACAACCGAAACCCAGACTAGTTCAGTAGCCTGCCCGTTGCCAACAAGTGATGAAAACATGCCTCACACCCACTTCATTCTGCTTGCAAACCAAGTGACTCTGCTCTGACATTTAGTTAGGAGGAGCCCTGAGAATCATCTGTGTGGAGGACACCCAAGCAGGTAAGAGCAAATAGTAAAACACACACACACACACACACACACACACACACACACAGGAGATGGTTAGAGTGCCTCTTCCAGCAGGCAGGGTCAGTGAGGGAGATGGGGTGACGCCTGGATGAGCCCTGCCACAGAGAGAAGCCTCGTGGGGGCTACGGTGCCTGCATGAGCTCACGTGCCATGAAGCTGGCATCCTGTAAGTGCGTGTGCCGACGATTATGCCGATCAACACTGCAGGGGCTAACTGCAGAGACGAGACACGGCCACCTGCACATTTGTACAGCTTCTCAGGTTGTAGGACATTTCAAGGCTGGGAAAGTATGTTATTGCTTTGCTAAAGCCTCTCTCTCTTTCCCTTCCTTTTGTAGCACACATCGGCTGTTTCTCAAGCAATTTCAATTCAAAGTAATCAGTTTGCCATTGTGGCCGAATTTGGGGTAGCCCCACCTGAGCCCCCAAACATCCATCCATCCAACCACTATGTACTGTGTGCCTTCTATGTGCCATGAAACCTTCTAAGCACTTTCAATATTTACTTTCGCTTTCATCTTCACACCAACAATTTGAAGCTTAGGTGCTGCCACTTGTCTGAGATGTGACCCAGATGGGAAGAGGTAGAGTGAGAACTGTAATCCAGGTGTGTCTAAAGCCCGTGCTTTCATAACCATCATATTATACTCTCGTCCCAGCTGGTACACAGCTAAAAGTCAGACTATGAGAAGTGATAGACAGTAATACAGATACGGGAGAGAAGATGCATTTAGACAGGTGAGTCTGCAAGGCTTCTGGAGAAAACACAAGTTAGCCTTTGGAGTGCCCAGACTCACTGCCAGATCGAAAGCTCAGCAATTTTGTTCGCGAGAGAGAATGGAAGGGGCCCAGGCTCCAGAGTCAGCAGACTTGGGTTTAAGTCCTGTCTTCATCTATTACTAGCTGTGTGACGTTGGACACCTTACTTAACCTCTCTGAACCTTCATTTTATCAGTGTGAGAGACCTCATTGACTTGTTGTAAAGCTTAAAGAAACAATGAAACTCGTCTAGTCCAGTACGTAATAACATAGTAGACGTTTAACAAATGATGCTTGGTTTGAGCCAACTCAAAATCTCTCGGTTATAGTAAGAAAATGGAGAAAGTTTCATTAATCAGCTTCTCTAGTGTATGCCTTAGAGAAGGCTGAGCCAAAGAAGGACTTTGCTCTTGTCCTTGTATCTCATATTGCACTATTGGTCACAAAACCTGTGCACTTGCACATGCACACATGTAAATACACACACAGGCCCACACACGTGCACAGACACTCAGGCACGAGAGCCACAGACCCACAGAGCAGAAGCACTCAGAGTGCTTAGGCGCTATAATGAGCTTTCGCATGGAGTTCGGTGCCATAGTGTTCTTAATTAAAATCTCTAAAGAACTCTCAGTGTTTACAGTCTCACCACCCAAAGCTATATTTACGTTGTTAATTATTTAAGTTGCAGTGAATAAGAAAGAATGCCCAGGCTTCCCATAAAATTTCCAAAAATTAAACCAGGGAAATGGGCAATAAATGTCATTTGAAATGGTCCCGCTGCCAGTCAGTTGCAGGACAACTGTAAAGTAATAGGGCATGAGATGCTTCAACGATGCCTAGTTAGTAACAATATGAACACTTTCTTGGGAAAAATGGCGATTACACGGTACAGACACTCAGCAGTCATCATCAAAGGCCTGTTACCAATACTAGCTAATTCATCTTGCCCAGGAGGAGGCTGCACAAGTCCTCACGGAGAGACAGAGAGAAACAAAGGCCAAGTAATGAACTGGCAAATCCTCTATCTGCTTAGCATCTTTGAACTGCAATTTGAAGATCTCAACCTAGAAGCATCCAGGAGGGGTCCCCAGGAAAGGCGAGAGGATTTTTTCTTAATAAGTGACTTGCCCAGGTGATGTGTAAGTTAGTGTGGTGAACTCTTGGCGTCCTCCTGATCTGCCATGTCTCACATCCCAGCTGCCCCTGAGAACTTCCCTCCCTGAAATGCTGTCTCGGGCAGACGCACACTCTTGTCTGTGTCAGCCCTGTCCCTTTTTCTCGGCAAGAAGGCTTTTGATCACAAACATACTAAGCCAGTGGGGGAGGAGGGAGAAATATTCCTCTTTCCCTAAAGCCACACATATTTTATTAGAACACGGTTCACAACTTTTGGTTTCAACCCAACTATAAGGTCTAGAAGTATTTCTGGAATATGACTGCTTTTGATTTGGTGAAAATACGAAAAAAGGAGTGAATTATTTCTTGTATGTACTAATTTAATCTCCATTAAAAATGTTTGAATAACAGTAAGACAGTGGAGATGAAGAAAGGGGAGAATGAAGAGGAACAGAAAGAGGAAGAATAAAAGGGAAAAGAAGGAAGACGAGAGGATGAGGAATGGGGAGGAAAAGCAACAGCAGAATGAGTCAGGCCTGAACTGCAGTGCTTTGTGGATGTTAGCTTTTAACCAACTGCTATGAGGTTGGGATAATTATCATCCCCATTTTAAAGATGGTGAAACTAAGGCATGGAAAGGTTAAGTGTCTTCCAAGATCCCATAGCTAGTAAAATGGTGATCCAGGTCCTGAACTCATCTCTACTTGATCCTAAATTCGTAGTTTTTTCCATAACCACTGCCTTCATGATGAGTTTCTTTGCCACCTCCTAAGCTGCCTCTAAACCCTAGTTTAGTTTGAGATCTAGTTCCAGGTCAAACCAAATACTATTTTCTTAGAGAAACACATACACTTCCTGGAAGAGGATTCATTATTTGTCTCTTCAGTATCACAAAAGAGGAAATAAGACCACAGAATATTGAGAAGATAAGCTTTAGGGTTTGATAAAGTTAGATCCAAAAATTCTAGATCCTGTGCCTTGTCTACAAAGTGAGCACAATAATAGTACCTACATTATGAGGCTGCTTTGAGGATTAAGTGAGCAGATACTTAGTGCCTCACATGTAGAAAGCATTCAATAATTGTTAGCTATGTTTTAAACACATACTGCCATATTAATGATTGATAATGATCACTCCTTCGCTGGAGGTAGTGTGCTCTGTTGAACCATGCTGGCTTGGAAGTCACATAACCTAAATTTCAATCCTGCATCATCTAATTACTCTCTATGAACCATTGGGGAGCTACTTAGCCTCTCTGTGCCTCAGTTTCCTCATTAGTAAAAACAGTGTGATCAGTGTGATAATCACATCTTCATGATTTTTTTTTAACTTTCAGCCATTTTTTTTTTTGGCCACACCTTGCGGCTTGCGGGATCTTAGTTTCCTGACCAGGGATGGAACCCAGGACCTCAGTAGTGAAAGCACAGAGCCTTAACCACCGGACCACCAGGGAATTCCCTGCATGATTTTTTCAATAGATTTGTTTGTAGGGTTTGAATGAGACAATGCATGTAGGCATTAAGCCTGGCACCTGGACAATAACAAGAGCTTGAGAAATATTAACCAGTGATATTCATTCCGAGTAGGCATACTTAGTACACAAAAGAAATTCAGTCCATGTTCAAATCCTAAAATCAACAAAGTTAATTTGCTATTTGCTCAACAAACATTTATTGCAAATCTACTCTATAGAAGGCAGTGTCTTCTGTGCTACAGATTCAGACATAAATAAAACACTGCTCTCAGCTGAAGTAATAGTACAGACAAACACTTTGGGTATAAACAATGGAATAAGGATCCTTAGATATGTGTGGACTGGGAGACTCTTCTTTTTCAGGCCATGTTGAATGAAGGAACAAAGTATGTTGCAGTTCTTGAAGTCTCAGGAAAACACATTTTATCCAACTTCCTACCCAATGTAAGAGTTCATTTAATCTAAATTCTTACCTCAGTAGTAAAGACATTTTGATGAACCCTCCTCCATGAAGTGATAAGCTGTTTTTAAACATTTCTACAAACAGGAAGCTTTGCGAAGCAGCTGCTTCCACGGTCCAATAGCTTTAAAGCTCTTCCACCGAGTGATCATACGGAAGCCTGGTCCCCTTGAAATGTCCACCTTTGGTCATTGTCTTTTTCTGGAGCTGGGCAGAGTCAGTGTAACCCCTTTCCAACCAACAGGTCTTTCCCACACTTCCACTCCCACTTCTGAGTCTTTGTTTCCTTAAGTGAAACTTGCAGATGCACTGTGATGAAAACCCAAGAGATATGAGCATCTCAGTGGGGAGCTTCCAGACGGCAGGAGCCATGACTAGGTCTGTGCCCTGGAACTCAGCACCCCACAGCTTAGTCTCAGCATTTTCTCTCCCCAAAGGTCCGTGTCAGTCCTGTCGGTACTTGTGAACCGGGGCAACCCTACCAGAGTCCTCTCCCTTTAATCCTTTCTGGTGGCATAACTCATGCTCATATACTCATTTAACAGTGACTTGTTGAGTTTCCTCTATGCCCAGAAGTGTGGGTAATGGATTACCTGTCCACTTCACATTCACGGCTAATTTTTGATATCAGTGAACTGTTTTCCCCCACCTGAGAGAGCAAAGTTCAGTGACGTAGACAGTATGATGAGCATAATTAGGACATGAGGATTAAACTTCAGGTGGATATCCAGAACTGTTAACATCCCCAGAAAAGTTCATTAAAACCAACTTCTTACCCAAATGAGAAATCCCTACTTCCACATTCCTCACACATGCTCTTGAGCATCTCTGGAAAGAGGGGGTTTATGAAGCAACTGCTTCTACTGCTTAATAATTTTAATGTTCTTCCATAACAGGGTAATTTGAAATTTGCCCCTTTGTCACTTCCACCCCTGGTCATTGTCCTTCCCTCTCGAGCTAGAGAGACTGAACGCAGCCCCACTTCTGCAAATAGATGTCTGCATGTTTGAAGATTTCTCATGCTTCCATTTGCATTTCTGGATCTTTGCTTCTTCAGCCTAAAACTTTACAGCTCATCAACTGTTCCTCTCTGAAAATGATGTTCAGATTCCTCATCACATGAATGTCTTAATGTACTCATTTTTTTTAGTATTTCTCTTAGGCTATGGCATCTAAATCTCAACAACGCGAACAGTGCCAAGCCTTTAAAGAAGGGATAGCTAATTCCATAATCTCACAGTGGAATTTTCAGTAGCAAAGTCTTCTGTGCAATGAAAAGGCCATGGGTCCTCTGGGAATCCACTTAGTGGATTCTTTGCTCTTACAGAAAAATGAAACAATGACCCTGGGAATATTGTTTATTGACCCTGAAGGATGCTGGTATCATTCTGATTCGCCGATGAAGAGGTTATTCACCCACACCTCATTCCCTTAAGAGTCAACTCCCTGAATGAGCCATAAGGCTAATTCCTAACACATGTTCTTCAACCACTACCTTATGTGCCAGTCCCAATCCAGATGGCATTTGGCTTAACACTTTATTAGCTAACAGAATGGAGATCTCTGAAAATGAGACTTGTCTGGCTTCTCCTTTATATACATTTGGACTAATTTTCAGTAACCTAATTAAACCGTTCTGTGATTGACAGAAGCTTGTGACAAGCGGATCTGCTGATGGAACTAAATATTTTCAGTTTTCCCTTCAAGACAATAGACATCCAGAACAATTTTAGAGATCAGAAATTTGGTGAAAGTAGGAGATCATTTATAAAAAGATATGAGCATGAAAACAGCATCAGATGAGGCCCCTGACTTGGCAGAGGAAGAAGCCCAGAAAATAAATGGACAGAAATGGTCCTCTGTTTACTCTGCAGGAAACAAAATTCCCCAGACAAATGCACAAATACATCCTTGGACAAATACCTTTACTCTTGCAGTGAAAATCAACACCCTTTGCTGAGCCCCACAAAATAGCATGGAATGTTGCAGTGAGCACTGACCTCGGAATCCACAGACGTGGGTTTCAGGACTTACTCTGCGTCTTATTGGCAAAGCATGTCAGTCTCCTCTTTGAACTTCAGATAATGTTAGCTAGTTGCTTACCAGTCTCAAGAATTATTGAATGAGCTTCAAGTTATATGGGTGGATGAAAAGGCTTTGTGTTACTGTGAAATGTTATAGAAAGGTGAGACATTAATAACACCAAATTCTGCCTCATATAATTATTTGTACACACTTCCCACTTGAATGCAAATGCTGAACAGCAGGAATTGCTGTCATCTCAGCCTCCTCTGTATCCCGCATAGTATCTGTCATAGTAGGAACTTGATAAATGTTTGCTGAATTGAATTCCATGGAATTGAATTACTAACTTGCATGGTCTTTGAGGGCAATTGTAGAATCTCACTTTACATCATCACCATCACCTTGCTGAAAGCTGACGTGAAAAAGTGTGCAATAAATGGTGAGTGAATGAATGAATAAATTGAGAGGACTTGAAAAGATGGTTTCCAAATCTGAGTGCCCTTTACAACTACCTGGGGTGCTTTTAAAAATCAGGCTCTGGGACACTGCCCCACAGATTGATTTAAAAGTTCCCCAGGATATTCTAATGTACAGTCAAGGTTGAGAAATAATGACTTAAAGCAATAGGAAAATATAAGGAAGACATCACCTTCCCTCTTTTAACTACCGTAGAATTTAGATTCTTGAGTGGAATAAAGCATTCTGAAAGCCTATGGCACTCGAAAATGGAAGAGTGGTGTCATTACTGCTTTTTAGAAAATACTGTCAAGAAGTGGTTTTCTAGACTTTTGCCTGATGGACCTCTTTCTTGGCAGCTACACCTTGGCAGACGTTGACCTCGCTATGGCTGAGCTGTGAATGCAAGATCAGCCACGAAGGCAATTGCTCTGGACTTCTGCTTGGCCCTAATGTTCTGGGAGGCTGCCACCTTGTGGTCAGTCTTAAGTGACCATTACAGCAGCTTCCTGAAAGCTGGCACAACTCAGACTTCCGTAAGGTTTTCTCTTTCTCAGATTACATGCAGAATCCTAGTGGTATATATTCTGATATTTCTAGAAAATTAAATAAGGAGGAGAGGGTTCTGGATGCTCCATGATGAAGAGAATGCTGTAGATATTAACACCAGGCATGATATAGAGGTTATATAGAGCAGGTAATTTGTCTATCACTGTTGAATAACAGGTGACAGAGGTCAAGAGAGGACAACGTACTCAATAAGAAACCAGGATTCATTTCCAGGGGGAAAGTATCGGCTGTGTCAAACCCATTATAAACCTTTATTTCCATGAGGAAGAAAAGTAGGACAGCAATATGGCCATAATTCCCATTTCACAGGTAAAGAGACTGAGGCTCCAGGAGTTAACTGTCTTTGTGAAAGTTGCATGGCTAACTACTAGATGAATTTAAACTGGAAACCAACTTGTTAAGCCAATATCTCCTGAGAATGAGATTTCTTTTTATCATAAAAGAAAAAGTTCAGGGGAAAAATTTTAATTTCAAGATTGGACTAAAGTGTGTGTTTGTGGGAAACAAAACACACATACCCACACATTTTTTAAAACCTCATAAAGAGGACTAGTTGGATGATAGAAACTTCTACTTCATGAAAGATTATGCTTTGTAATACTATTAAGGAAACGCATTTTCTTCAAAGACACAAACTAATTCAGACAAACATCTATATTTTCAAGTCCTATCAGACCTGCTATAATGAATAGATAAGACTCCCTGGTAAAGGCACCTGGAATCTTAATATGAAATATGAATTATATTCTGCACACCAGCCTGATTTTTCAAGCAGATTAAATGTATGAGAAGTGGAAAAGCTGTCCCTGTGGACATACAGACCTGGGTTTGTGCGTCAACTCTTCCACTGTGAACTGCAAAATCTTGCAGAATTTTCTTTAACGCCCTAAACTTCAGTTTCCTCATCTATGAGTAAGAATGAGAATGACAACTTACTAATAATTCTTATTGCTGTTAAATTAAAGAATGTACCCATACAGAGGTCCTAAAATGGGAAGCACCAAAATATTAAATGAAGAAGAGTTTCCCTTATCCTATGATTTTTGTAGAATGTTTGGCTAACTGATCACATTGCTAATGAGTGGGGTACAAATTACTTCGGTGCTGCACCACTCTAGATGTCCAGGATTTTATAAGGGTTCAAAAAACAAACCAGTCACATCATTAGAATAAAATATAAAAGGATATTTTAGGCAGCTAAGAGGAGTTGGGAACTTTGCTAAATGGATCAGTGCAGTCTTCATAGTGGGTTAAATTTCACATTTGGACCCAGTTTTAGGAAATAATTTATTGGAATAACAGCTTTAGAAAGCAGCCCTGTACTCAGCTACCAAGAAGGCTCTGTTTTTTGATTTCTGCCTGACTGGGTCATGAGTCAGCTGGTATCTAGAAAGAAGAAACTGGGCATCAGTTACCACAGGTCATGCACTCAGAAATCACTGTTGATTTCAGAAGCTGAGAAACAAAGACCTCCCAGAACGTCTCCAGGCCAGACACTAGACACGAGATATTGAAGAGGAAAATTTCTGTTGAAACTAGGAAACCTTCCTAAGGGCTACCTATGAAATGCTTTGTCTGTCTTCCGTCTTTGAATATAAATGCTTGTATTAATCTTGTTACTTTTGTTCCGTCCTGTATCTAGTAGAAGGAAGGAAGTACCTGAGTAGGATCTATATTTACACAGCACATGGGAATGGGAGGACTAGAGATAGATGAGCAAAGTCTTTAAAACTGAAATCACTACTGTTTTCAGAATGGAGTCTTGACTTAATGACTTAGAATAGTGAAAGCTATTGGTATTCAATTCATTATCAGGTAATTTTAAAGGGAATAAGACATCGCTACAGCATATCAGGAAATGTCAATATCAGCAATGCAAAAGATGCTCAACTATGCCTTCTGTTCTAAGCTGGCAGAGTAGATATTTACCTATAAGTGGTAGTTTGAAGAGCACAGGATAAGCACAAACCTCCTTAACTGCAAAGGACTTCCCTACCAGAATTCTACAAAGCCTGACATTCTTATTTTTTTTTCCAGTTTAAACGTTGTCCCCAAAAGGACTCTATTAAAAAGCAAATATGTTTCCTTGGGAGAAGCCCTATTTGGCCTGGGTTACTTTATCATGTATAGAGAAAAAGAAAAACAAACCCAAAAAACTTGTAGAAGAAGTTGAGGAAAGTGGGAAGAAAGGGAGGAAAGAGAAGGAGGAGAGATAGAGAGGCAGGCTACCAATATCTATTCATCCAACCTCTAGACCAGTCTGTCCAGTATGGTAGCCTCTACTCACATGTGGCCATTTCAACTTAAAGTTTACATTAACTAAATTAAGCAAAATAAAATATTCAGCTATTCCATCACGTTAGCCCTATTTCAAGTGCTCAATAGCCCCGTAAGTTTAGTGCCTACCGTATCGGTCAGTGTACACAGAGAACATTGGCATTGTCGCAGAAATTTCTGTTGGACAGCACTGCCCTAGTGAGTGACTCTTACAGAAGACCTTACCACCTGCTTCAGAAGTGACAGGCTTAAAAAAAAAAAAAAAAGCTGAGCACATTGTGCTGTATTATCCTGCAGTCCTTCTTGGCTTCTACATATAAAGAACCAAGAAGCAGGTATTTTGTTGCAGACTAAACCTATGTGGGGAAAGGACAGGATGGGTCACAGAGAAAAACATTCAGACATGACAAGTCCAAGGCCTCTTGCTTAGCAACCCCGAATGAGAACAGTTCACCCGTGGGCACTAAATGGAGACTGATATTGAAACACGCTTTGTTCTGTAGAGCTAATTTACTCTAACCATGTGTTATACACTATGTGAAGTTCCCATGGCAGAGTGGGATCGGCCTCTCACAAATTTCCTTTGTCACCTTCATCATTTCCAGGTTGTAGAACCCCTCCATATATTCTATAGCTGGGGCAGCTGCTACCTGACCACAAGAATTACATAAGAATCAAGCTTATGGAGGCTAGAGTTTTTTTTTTTTTTAGAGGTAAGTAATCTGAATTTGAACCCTGATCCATATGACTCAGAAATCCAAACTTTTAAATCATACCATGCTGCCTCTATGAGAAGAAAAAAATATCATGAAAGGGTTGTTTTAGCCAGAAATAAGTGCAGGGAAGACCACAGGAGCAGGACCCTCTGTATTGCTTTGGCGAAATGTTTGGGAACTCGTGGCTGGGTCATAGTTCCAGTAGGCTCAGCACATTTATGGTTTCTGTGAATTTCAGTATCGTCTTCTGTAAAGGAAAGGGGTTGGACCAAGTGATCTTGGACACCTTTCAATTCTGCATAATTGTTGAATACTCAAGATCTCTATAAAGTATTCATTGTAAAGCCTCTCCAAGTGAGGATTAATTTATTATCTAGTAAAAGTGGTTTTATGAGGGCTTCCCTGGTGGCGCAGTGGTTGAGAGTCCGCCTGCCGATGCAGGGGACACGGGTTCGTGCCCCGGTCCGGGAAGATCCCACATGCCGCTGAGTGGCTGGGCCCGTGAGCCATGGCCGCTGAGCCTACGTGTCCGGAGCCTGTGCTCCGCAACAGGAGAGGCCACAGCAGTGAGAGGCCCACGTACCGCGAAAAAAAATAAAAAATATAAAAAAGTGGTTTTATGGGCATATATATTATTTTAGTGCTAGGGAAGGACGTCAGTGCATATTAGCCAGCCAAAAATTTGATAGTCAGCCAATTTACTCAGTAGCCCATTTCTCCAGTACATGTGGAGCCTTAAAAGGATTTTTTAATTAAAAAGAGATTATTTTGAAAAATAGAATTATTTAAAATTTTGCATATAGTTGTCGTCTTCATGTGCATGTGTGTTGATTTCTACCCCTCCCATTCCCCCAAGCTAAACATGTTTATGCTTGAAGGTGCTTTGTGAATCCCAAGAAAGCATTTGAAGAAAATTAAAAATCTCTGCCAAAAACTATAACCGTCACCGAGCTTGGTCATAAACTTTAATTGGAGAACTGATATTAAGTATGTATCTTTATTACATTTTGAAAGCATGAGTAATATATGTAATCGTCCAAGGACTGAGCTATGAGCATTGCTTTATTATTCAAACATAAATGAAAGTGTGCTGTATTATCAATTAGTGTCCAGCTTCTTTGGAAGAGCGAGAATAAAATCTGTTAGACCTCAGCTGGTGATTTACGTTCTCAAACATCTTTATTCACAAGCCTAAAAAGCAGGCGGGTAACAGTTGCCAAAGCAGTTGCCAAGACAACTTATCTCTGGATTTAGTATTACTGCATCACGAAAGACGCCTACGGGGAATTTAATTAACGCCTCATCCTCCCTTGGCCAAAAAAGGATGGATTTTCCTTTAACTCAAAGTCCCTAAAGAATGAGATTATTTCAATAGAGTCAGGGTAGACACAGACATAAAAGATAGACACACACACACACACACACACACACACACACATTCACAGATGCTGGGATTTAATTATAATATAATGAGGCTAGTTTTCAGCCAGGGTTTACATAGGGTCTGCTGCAGTAGTTCATATGTATTTATTGAATGAATGTGAATAGATATGTATATACATATATATAGTTTCTTTATTCATTCATTCATTTTCCTTCTCTCTCCCTCTTCCCCAAAAGGAGTAGGCATTTTAGAGAAAGTTAATTGGAACAGAAAACTAGCATCAATGGCCAGATAAATCAGATAAAAAATTGATAAGTATTTTAGAATTGTTAGAACTGTTTCATAATTGGTTCTGCGCTTCCAGGTAACCATGGTAATAACGGAAACGGAACAAAGTGCTTGGCTTACATTATTCCTCACAGAAAGGAATGCTTTTGCTCTCCTAAATTTTAACATCATTTTGGGAGGTTTGTTTGAAAGCCATGGATATTTCTGACTAACGTTATAAAATTCCTAAATTAAGTGCCATACTTTGTACATCATGCTCTGCGTGTACTTTTGTCTCATTTAATCCTCACCACTCACCCGTAAAGCCCAATATCTACTGAGCTAGTAGAAAGTCCTGTCTAATTGTATTAATTAGTACGTACCTGGATTATACTTCCATTTTACCCACATGCTGCTCCTCTAAATTAACGTCCAACCCCAAGAGATGTGGGGTTGAGCACTGAGCTTTTGCACCCTACAGGTGGTGCAGGCTTTGGGGATCTTTTGGGCACTTTTTCCCCAGAATGGACAATAATTGGGTGTCTCCCCCTTCCCAAATACACATTATGACAGATCTGCATTCACGTGCTAACAATTCCAGAGTTGCGTAGAGTTTTGTGCTTTTTAAACATATTTACGTGCTTTAATCCTCACAACGAAGAAAAGAAAGCAGGTAAATACTGTTTCTCCATCTGTATGCAGTAAGAAATATGAGCTGTTAGAACACAAGTTTTTTGATCCCTACTCTTAGTGCTCCATACTTCATTTTTCAGTTCTTCCTGTGTATAATCTGGCAACTAAGTCGTAATACCTATACTTCCAGCACATTGTTTAGCTCATCAAGCCAGTCATTCGCTAAATAGGAAAACAATGATTTAGTACAGCATCATGATATTCCTAATTTTCTGCCTCAGGGCATAATTTTGAGCTAGCCAAGTTTTGTCTACCTATCAGGTAGTGTTAGCCCTCTGACTTTGTTCTTCATTTCCAAAGTTTGTTGCTGTTGTTGGCTAGAGTTGGATCCTTTTGCATTTCCATAAGAACTTTAAAACCAGCTTGCTTATTTCTACCAAAAAGCCTGCTGGAATTTTGATTGGGGTTGTGTTGAATCTTTAGATCAGTTTGGGGATATTTGGCATCTTAACAGCTGGAATCTTCCAACACGTGGACAAGGTATATCTCTTCATTTACTCAGGTCTTTTTAAATTTACCTCAGCAATATTTTATAGTTTTCAATGTACAGGTTTTACCCTGTAAATGACCTTTATTGCAATATGACCTTTATTGCATATTGCATTTACCCTGTAAATGACCTTTATTGCAACTTTCAAATATTCATTGCTAATATATTTAAATACAATTTAGTTTTATATGTCAATCTTGTATCCCAAAACTTTTCTAAACTCATTTATTGGTTCTCATTTTTTTGGTAAATTCCATCAAGTTTTCTACGTAGACAATAAGGCCACCTACACATAAAGACAAGTTTACTTCATCCTTTCCAATCTGGATGCAATTATTTTTGTTTTTCTTGCCTAACTGCACCAGCTAGGACTGCTAGCATAATGTTGAATAGAAATGATAAGAGCAGATATCCCTGTCTTGGCTCTGATCTTAAGGGGAAATAATCCTGTCTTTCGCCATTAAGTATAATGTTAACTGTAAGATCTTTTTTCACATAGATGTTCTTTATCAGGTTAAATTTCCTTATTCCTAGTTTGCTGAGAGTTTTTATCAAGAATTGATGTTGCATTTTTCTCTGCCCTTGTGTAGTTTTTTTGTTTTTTGGTTTTTTTTTTTTGCGGTACGCGGGCCTCTCACTGTCGTGGCCTCTCCCGTTGCGGAGCACAGGCTCCGGACGCGCAGGCTCAGGGGCCCAGCCGCTCTGTGGCATGTGGGATCTTCCCAGACAGGGGCACGAACCCGTGTCCCCTGCATCGGCAGGCAGACTCTCAACCACTGCGCCACCAGGGAAACCCCCCCTCGTGTAGTTTTTTCACCTGCATGCACTGGTCAGAACTCAGCTGGAGACTAAAGAAGGTGCCCTCTGCAGTTTTTTGGAGTTCTTTCTGTATGTTTTCTCTCTCCAGTACTTTACTTTGCAAGCTCCAGCCACTTTGGCTTTCTTGGGCCCCCAAGTCCATTTCCCCAACACAGGGGAGACTAACAGGCTTAGCTTGGGCCCCTTCTGCCAGTAACATAACCTGGAAACTCTCTAAAGCAGTATTCTGAGATAATTGTAGGACTCACCTCATTTGTTTCCTATCTCTCAGGGATTATTGGGCTTTGCTGTCTGATGTCCAATGTCTTAAAAATCGTTTTTCATATGTTGTGTCCAGTGTTTTAGTGTTCCTGCAGGAGAGTTAACATAGCCCTTGTTATTCCATCTTGGTTGGAATAGTTTCAGAGCATGACTAGGACCCTGAACCTGGGTTCTCTGCCCCTGTAGCCTTGATTTCTTCTACTCTTCCCTATATGTACAACCAGTGTCAGTGTCTGCTACATTAGTGCTGATGCTGGGAACGCTAATTTAATTTTATACATTTCAGTAATGCTTAACATCTAAATATTCCAAAGACTAACTGTAATATAAATTGGGTTGTTCAGTAGAAATTGGACGTTCCTTGCCCTGTGTTACGTATTACATTCTTATACCAGATGAGGAAGGGACAGTGATAGTTCCATTATATATATAATCATCTTCACAGGGGAACCCATCAAAATTTGGACGCACTGAATAATCACCAAGATTGCTATCATCTTTTGTCCTTCATGTGTTACCAGACACCTTTCCAAGGTAATATCTCTGTAGCAATGGTATTGGTCACTCTTAGACATGTTTGAAAACACAGCTGGGTAGTTATTTCCTCGTGATGTCGTCTCATAAAATTCTAGGCCGCTTTAATCCCTCCTACTCCTGAATGCTAATCAGGCAGGTCGCATAGCAGTATTTTGGCCTTCTTCACAGTGTAGAAAAACATGTATTTGTATAAACAACACCTGCATCAATGTATTCTCATGTTAACTTTCCCAGGTAACCAATCTTATGGAAATTATTAATTTGGCATATCTATTCCTCCTATTCAGTTACTCTAGAAATATTCAGAAATCTAGAATATATGATAATTCACATTACATAATATGCATATATAATTATGAATACATTTATGATTATATAATTTAAATATACATTTACTATGAATGCAGTGTTATTTCTTTTTCTCTGGTATTCTGTTTGGGAATATCTGAAAAACAGATAACTGAGCTATATTAAGTTTAATTAATATTAAACAGCATTGAGTTGGCAAGTCCCGTTTCCTATGCTGGCAAATTTCTGATTTCACGA